GAAAGGAAGGTTTGGTAAAATAATTATGTTTGGGAGGGCAAAAATTAAGTACATAGATATTTTTTCATTTAAAATATTATTCAATTTAACGTTTAAATTAATGGCAAACATTTTTGTGAGAAATGTGGGCTAAATTTGTGAATTGGGGGAGGTGATATTAGGAAAACAGATATTTGAATTATGGAGTGTGGTAGTACATAATGTGGAAAATTTACTAAGAAATCGTAAACATATTTAATGAATTTGTTGAAAAAAATTTAAAAGGCGATTTTGTTTAAATATGGTATTAAACAAGTAAGAAATTATAGTCGGGCGAGGCCGACCATTTAATACCCTACACCTTTGACAAAAATATAATGTGATTTAGTTGCCATAATAAAGCATTTAAGTTGAATTGTACCATGCCTTAGATATACATACTTAAGCCGTTTATTGTTGAATAAAATTGTGGACATTTAAGTGAAATTTTGATGGGGGCTTTTCATAGGGTCTAGGGTCATATGAGAACCTATTATTATGGAATTCGTGAGGGTCATCAAGTCTTGTATATAACTTGGTTTTTGCAGCTTTTTGTCGAGATATGAGTATATTAAACATAATTATGAACTTAAAAGTATGGGGGCTAGTTGAAATAATGGACCGATGTAAACCATTTTCAACAGGCTTCGTCTACGATACCATAAAAGATCATGTGCTAAATTTCATTGAATTATCTCCAAAATTGCGACCTGTAGTTTGATTACAAGGATTACAAGCCCTATTGGGGGGTTTACCGATCTTAACCATTTTCAATAGGCTTTGTCCCTGGGACAATAGAAGATCATGTACCAAATTTCATTGCATTATCTTCAAAATTGCGACCTGTAGTTTGATTACAAGGTTTACATGGAGGACGGACAGACATACAGACAGACAGACAGACAGACAGACAGACGGACGGACAGACGGACGGATGGACAGACGGACGGACAGATGGACGGACATAGCTAAATCGACTCAGAAAATGATTCTGACCAATATTATTGTGCGTTACAAACATCAGCACAAATCCAATATACCCTCCCCACTAAAGTGGTGTAGGGTATAAAAATTACAGCTGCTAAAGCAGAATTTTGTTTCAAGGTCAACGTTTTTAATTTGACAAATCTTTAGGTATGGTTGAATGGAGAATGTATATTACATCTGGTCCTATTGTGCTCTTCTTTTCCTTGAAAATGTGGCGATTTATGAAAGTTAAGAAAAGCAGTTTTCTTTGATTTTTCCAATCGATATTCCAGATCGATGAAATATCTAAACATATTTGGATCTAATTTGAACGACATTAGTCTGAAACCGTTTATCTAATTATGTTGTGCCTTTAAACCAACCTCCAACTAATTCATATTGAGGAAGCTTCTCCATCTGCTTTTGGATACCATCGCTTATGTTTCTAACTCGTTGAGGTTTGCGAACAGTTTATAACATTATAACCGAATATGATGAAGAGTCCTGTAACTCTGTAGGAAAGAGCTTTTAACTGAATTAGTGCTTATTGCATCACTTACAGCCAAATAACGAGTTCCCTGTAAATACTACTTTTAACTCCATTTCAGAATTTCTCCAGCACATCAGTGATTCGAGATATATCTTATTCTGAAGTTTGAAAAAAATGTAATTTTTGGCTCTGTTTGACAGCGTTATAACAGCGTCAAGACAACCTTATTTATAAACTATTATTCAATATTTTCAATTTTTATTATATTCAATATAAAAGTCATACTGTCAGCTTTAAAATAAAGCTTTAACCTTTCAACTTTTTAAATTTTGTCGACCTGTGTAGTAAATTAAATTTAATATTTCCAAGTCAAATGTGTTAAACAACATCTGTCTATATTTCATTCATTAATGATATTACCACCAGACGTATGAGTAATATATAATTTCATGAAATTTGTTTTATACTCTAAGGCGTATGATTAACGTAATTTTTTTTTTGTATAGTCTAAAACTTATTAAAATCCAATAAGTAAAGTTCCATATCCGGCCGTGCTGCCTCCTACATTGTTACAATTTACTATCTTAAAGTATATCAATCGGCTTAGAGTCATTTGCTGTGTCGATTTAGCTATGTCCATCCGTATGTCCATGTGAATCTTGTAATAAAACTACAGGTCGCAATTTTGGAGATAATTCAATTGAATTTAGTACATGATCTTCTATTGTACCAGAGACGAAGCCTATTGAAAATGGTTAACAACGGTCCACAATTTCACCAAGGTTGGACGGACAGACGGAAGGACGGACATAGCTAAATCGACTCAGAAAATGATTCTAAGTCGATTGGTACGCTTTAAAATGGGTATAGGACCAATATTATTGTACGTTATAAACATCAGTACAAACCCAATATACCCTCCCCTCTAAAGTGGTGTAGGGTATAAAAATAGTTTTGACGTTTACAAGAAATATTACTCTTACTCAGGAAGTAATAGAGATTTTAAAAAAATTGATAGAACTTCACATTTAAGTTGTTTCGCAATTGCATTAAATTACTAAAAGTCTTCTTTAAATTTCAAATATTCAAAATATTTCGTTAACACTAACTCACTTGTTTCAATAATTCCTTATTAAATTTTATTTAAAACAAATCACTACAGGCCTCCCAGTTAAACTTTTGTTTAACAACTACATACTACCGATAGTGTCCCAATAGTAAAATTCTTTAATTGCCTCCTTCTAGGTTTATTGAAGTTTAACAAATACACAACGTTGATATTTAAGCTTTAAATGAAAGAGTAACGAGTGATTTAAACAAACGGCAATAATTAAACGGGCTGCGTGCTAACATTTCCTCGAGTTATGTTTACAAAGTGATGAATTGATGTTGCCTCCAAAGCACATAGAAAGACAGCAGCTCACAGATACATGTATAGGAGACAAACAAATACACAAGCATTCTCTAAGGCTTCAAAGTATACAAACACATATACATACATGCTATATACATAAACATAAATATCTGGATATAAATAGCTTTAACAGTTAAGGGCGTTATTTCAAATACAAGGTATGAGTGTAAAGGCTCAAAATTTAGATTGCTTCGAATGAAACTATTCAATGTACACATTCCAAAAAATTTCAATTTCTGCCGTTTTCTCACTCATTTCATTTAGTTTGTAAATGCCCCTAACTGACTTATAACTACTACTAGCAAAGTGTAGCTTTAAATTGCTATGTATAGTTTTACACAGCGTTAGACATGTTTTCATTATTTGTATTACAAATACAACAACAACATAAACACTTATAGACCATGTAAAGACTTTATAGAACAATGACGATGTTTGGTAGAGAAAAAAAACACTCTATTACTACAAATGATGCTTTAGTATTTTCTACTCCTTACTTGTAGGTTTACTTGCTGCTACTATAGTTTCTAGTTGTTATTCATGTCGTTGGTATTGAAAGTTGAGACTGTAACTAGAGCAACAGCACCATCAGCGAGCCACAGCACTTCCTGTGGTAGTGGCAATTAATCTTAGCCATAAATGTTGTAAAATTTATGAACCTCTAAATCAAGCTATAGACCGAAAATGTTTTAAAACAAAACGAAGTAATACTATATATTTAAAGAACAGTAGGGCAAGATAAATGGAATTTCTTGAGTTATTTGAAATGGACAGAAGGATTTTGACTATATTCAATATAAAATATTAATGATCAATACAAAATGTTTGTGGAAATTTGTGGTTTTCTTCAGATGACTCGTTTCTGTGCTTCATTGAATGATTTGAGCTATTATCTGTCTGTTTGTCTGTTCTTATGTCTGTTTATTTCTCTATCTGTCTGGTTTTCTGTTTATCTGACTGTCTTTCTTTCTGTCTGTCAGTCTGTCAGTTTTTCAGCCTGTTTGTCAGTTTTTCTGTCTGTTTGTCTGTCAGTCTGTCTGTATGTCAATCTGTCTGTCTATATGTCTGTCCGTCTGTATGTCTGTCTGTCTGTCTGTCTGTCTGTCTGTCTGTCTGTCTGTCTGTCTGTCTGTCTGTCTGTCTGTCTGTCGTCTGTCTGTCTGTCTCTAGATGTATATGTCCGAGTTATTCAAATTTCTACAGACTTTTATAAAATCTATTTGCCCACAGTTTCCGCCATCATCTACAAAATAGTGCCATCATTTTGTTATGTTTGGAAACTTAAAATATTTATACTTAAGACAACAAAACAACAACAAAAAAACTAATAAGTAAAAAAACTGATCACATAATCTTTTAAACAATTTTAACACTCTGCTTCAGCAAAAGAATCCTTAACAGCAAACTCAACTCCACCAAAGCAATGATGAGCATTAAACTCTAATAACGCGTATCATTCTGTCCCAGTAAAAGTGATTAATTGTAGAGCAAAATTTTAAGTTAGTTTTTTTTCCTCGTATTTCTAATAATATTTTGCAATAAGAAACTTATTATTTGACATAAACTTTAATGTGTTGAAAAATGGTTAAATTTTAGTTAGAAAAAAAGTTTATGAAATTCAGAAAAATGTTAAAAAAATTTTGTTAAAAAATAATATTTAATTTAAAAGATCTTAAAAAAATTTATGGGGACTACGGGTGGTATGAGTAATATTTTAAAGAAACAACCTCTTTCTTTTAAATATTAATTAAGTTGTTTGTGCAAAAATTTTATTAAATTGAAAACAATGCAATCAACTAAAATGTTTAAATACTCTTAAATCAATTTTGGGACTACGGGTGGTATGAGTAATATTTTAAAGAAACTGGTATATTCTTACTTTAAAACATTTTTTACAAACTTAAATTATTCATGCTGATTGTCTTAACTGAAATCTTATGTAATACATTTTATATTAGTTATTAACTAGTCCAACATGTAAGTGGGCTGGCCACATATTTTCAGTCTATGCCTCTTTAACCTCATTCCTTAGATATATGAATATATGTAAATCTTTTTCAATGTATTCATTACATTATTGACCAAAAATTCTATTTCTCTTTTTCTTTTTAGTGATTTCAATATTTAATATGCTTCATAAAATAAACAAATGAATGTGGGAAATCTTACAGTGGTATTAAAAAAGTGACAACCTAAAATTTGTGTATATTATGTTACTAAAAATATAACTAATTAAATATAAATTTAATACCCGCCTAATAAAAAAAAAACTACTCCCAACATAAACAACAACCCAAATCCCAACAACATGAGTTTTGAACAACATCATCAACACCAGCAGCAGCACCAGCATCATCAACATCATCATCATCACCATTATCATCATCAGCAGTATTTCAGTTTGCCAATGCCAAGTCAGCAGAATTTTTGGTATATTATACATCTAATATTGTTTTTAATAGGTAAGTGTAAAAAAATAGTTTTTTTTTTAATTTTATTTAAAGAATTTAATAAAATTAGTTTATTAAAAAACATTCTGTTTTTGCACGTACTTCTGCTGGGAAGGTAGTGTTGCGCACCACCCTATTTTCTATTACAACAGATTCCTTCTTCACCTTTCAAATGACAGATATTAGCCGGGTTAACATTTAGTACACCGAGCTAGCAGCCATGTTCCTCGATAGGGATCTTCAGTAAAGGGTATAAAAAACGTGTTTATGCCTTTTTTGTCTAAATACAATTCAGTTTTCGGGATTCCAATTTCATGTAGAATTGAGTCATCACAGTTTTCTAACTGCATGATTAATTAAATATCATTTTTATCTGTATGTACATATGTATAACAAGTAAAAATATATTCGGGCATGATCGACATGGACACACAGATGGATGGACAGACAGACGGATGGACAGACAGACAGACAGAAGGATGGACAAACGGACGGACAGACGGACATTGTTCAATCTAAATTAACAAAGTGATTCTGAGTTGATTGGTATGCTTTAAGGTGTATATGAGCAATTCAGTATGTCTGGAAGGAACTATATGCTACCACGCCAGTATTAAAAGTCGTAGTTTTCTTCGAGGTTGGATCTGTCTATATATGTACTTATTTTAATTACATCTTTATAGGATAAATTACTTTAGTAAAGATACTTTTTAAATTGTTCAACAATGACTACAAATCAAAACATTGTATATAAGCTAATCTAATTCCTCTTTTATTCAGTTTAAAAGTTATTCGATACTAAATTTTATTTAATTCCCTTATTTAAGGTATTATTTCACTAATACTAAATGCCAAATGTATACTTCATTTTAACTGTCACTAAAAAGTCCATTAAAATCCATATACAACTTATAGGTCATTTCGAAAACACAAAAATAAAACTTCAATAGACAAGTACCTTGAAATTTATATCGTATTAGAAAATATTTTAAAAAGAAATTGTCAATAACTACGAATCAAAAGTAATGGTCTGGCATAAGCGAATAAATGATACCTTACGCCTGTAATTTTTGCAAAAATAAATACATAATGAAACTGTTGCAAATAAATAAAATCCAATAGAGTGGAGTGAGGAACAGAGTGTGTGTACTTATTTTTAAACAAAAAATAACAAGAACAACAACAAAAATCCTTATACTTCAACACTTTTAATCCCACTCACATTGCTTACAAATCCTCTTACAATTAGACCATGGCCTTTTGTGTAACACTAATGTGACATTTAAATACACCATTAAACCTTGCTGGATGTTTTTTCAGTGACAGTTGGGAGAGCGAAAGAAAGAGGAACAATAATAATTCGCAATGAAATGTTTAAAAGTTTGTATGTATTTTTTTGCTCATTTACTACTAGAGTGACATAACTTTAAACTTGAGTTATTTAAATACGAGTTGTGTCCCATTGATTTTAGAAGAAATAAAGGCCGTGGGTTCAATACCCACCTGAGGCACTGGAAAGCAAAACAGGCCAGAGGCTTGATATGAACCTTCCTTTGTAACCAACCAACCAACCAACCAACCAACCAACTAACTAAGTAACTAACTAACTAACTAACTAACTAACTAACTAACTAACTAACTAACTAACTAACTAACTAACTAACTAACTAACTAACTAACTAACTAACTAACTAACTAACTAACTAACTAACTAACTAACTAACTAACTAACTAACTAACTAACTAACTAACTAACTAACTAACTAACTAACTAACTAACTAACTAACTAACTAACTAACTAACTAACTAACTAACTAACTAACTAACTAACTAACTAACTAACTAACTAACTAACTAACTAACTAACTAACTAACTAACTAACTAACTACTAACTAACTAACTAACTAACTAACTAACTAACTACTAACTAACTAACTAACTAACTAACTAACTAACTAACTAACTAACTAACTAACTAACTAACTAACTAACTAACTAACTAACTAACTAACTAACTAACTAACTAACTAACTAACTAACTAACTAACTAACTAACTAACTAACTAACTAACTAACTACTAACTAACTAACTAACTACTAACTAACTAACTAACTAACTAACTAACTAACTAACTACTAACTAACTAACTAACTAACTAACTAACTAACTAACTACTAACTAACTAACTACTAACTAACTAACTAACTAACTAACTAACTAACTAACTAACTAACTACTAACTAACTAACTAACTACTAACTAACTAACTAACTAACTAACTAACTAACTAACTAACTAACTAACTAACTAACTAACTACTAACTAACTAACTAACTAACTAACTAACTAACTAACTAACTAACTAACTAACTAACTAACTAACTAACTAACTAACTAACTAACTAACTAACTAACTAACTAACTAACGAACTACTAACTAACTAACTAACTAACTAACTAACTAACTAACTAACTAACTAACTAACTAACTAACTAACTAACTAACTAACTAACTAACTACTAACTAACTAACTAACTAACTAACTTAACTAACTAACTAACTAACTACTAACTAACTAACTAACTAACTAACTAACTAACTAACTAACTAACTAACTAACTAACTAACTAACTAACTAACTAACTAACTAACTACTAACTAACTAACTAACTAACTAACTAACTAACTAACTAACTAACTACTAACTAACTAACTAACTAACTAACTAACTACTAACTAACTAACTAACTAACTAACTAACTAACTAACTAACTAACTAACTAACTAACTAACTAACTAACTAACTAACTAACTAACTAACTAACTAACTAACCGACACTTTTTTAATTATATCAGTTTTATCGTAAATAAGCGATTTGTAATATCTCTGCAGTTCGGAGTAATAGTCCCGAATTTAGCATTTTTGCTGAAAGCTTTAAAGGAATCCTTAAATAAAGAATAACTCCCGCAATATTGTCGACTCTGATTCCGTGTTGAAAGTGATACATTTACTCCTTGTGAAACTGCAGAGATGAATGTTCACGCACAGAATATAGAAGCATACTGTGCAAAGTGTCTAAGCAATATGGACTAGAAAAATATATACACCATTTCCATGTTAAAGTTAACATTGAAATCTTAAACTCATGAGATTTTTCATTTACAAAAAGCTTCATATTTGCCTTAGAAATGGTTTAAAATAAACGTATTTTTCTTAGTTCTAAGTTTGATTTTATTTTGTTAACGTTCATTGCCTTTGTTTCAACATTATTACAAGTTTTTCTTTTTTCAAGTGTTAAAAAAAACATCATGTATTATATTTAAGAACACTCACTACAATTGGAAATTAAAACTAAATTGAGAAAAAATATATAACAAACATTGATTTGAGAAGAATAATGAACAAACTACGAAAGAAAATAATCTAAATTCTAGGTGCCCTGAAATATGCAATGATTTTCAACGTTAAACTTGAATTGGTTTTGATAATAAAAGTTCATGTTCTAGAAAGTAAATGTAAGTGATTAAAATGAAAAACTTGGATCCTTGATAAAATATCCTTGAACTATTTATACATATGAATAAATAAATTACAAATTATGCTTAAGAAAAGCAGTAGTAAGACTTGCATATTGATTCATAGAAAAATTCATCGAAAAATCTGTAAACCCAGGGACATATGTACAATAACTTAAAAAAATAAAACTGTACAAAACATTTAAAGTGATAATAAAAATAACAGTAGATTTTAGGACAAGTGATTGATAAGATTTGTTAATACCTTGTTCTTTAGTTAAAGCTTCAATTGAGTCCTTCCTGCACAAATTTCTTTTCTACTCTTTTATTTACCAATCAATTTTGTCAAGTGCTACTGGGTTTAACTTTATTTCTGTCTTTTATTTGTAGTTGTTTTTGCAAAACTAAAAGAAACTTTAACTAAAGTCTTGTCTTTCTCTTTATAATCAACTTGATGAATTTCTTTAGTTAGATTTGACCTAGATTTGTAATGAATTTAAAGATTTAAATCTAACTACAAATATACTGATATAACAGCAACAACAACTGGGAAAAATTAAGAAAAAAAGGTTAAAAAAATAGAAATACATGTCTCTTTCGAAAGCAACAAGAACATGAGCATGATTAGGAAAACGTTTGTGTCAATTTTGTTTTATAAAACTAAAACTGGATGCCAAACAAAATGGCTTAAATCACAGAAACATTTTCTATGATAAGTAAATATTCCATAGATATCTTCAGAAATATTTGATATTGAAAATGAGAAAATTTCTCCATTAGTTCAAAAAATAAAACCGTAATATAATATGGATATATTATATCCATCCCTCAAACAAAATTTAGATAGGGCATTCTTACAATTTTTTACAAAATATTTTTATATAATTCAAGGAACAATTCTAGAATAGAAAAAAAAAGTATGTTTTATGCAATTTCTTTTCATTACAATAACACACATGTAGATAACAAACTGCATTTTTTCTAAATCCTTAAATTTTGAATCGATATAGAAATGTCCTTAGTATGGCATCCTTGACCAAATTGTCATCTACTACATACTTTGTTTTTGTACTTAAACATGTATATATAAATATTTTGCAATTTTATGTGTAAGTACACATAACCCAGCTGTTTTAAAAGAAATCAACAGATCCCTTAGACAAAACACACAGTATTTTCCCAACTATTAAACTTTAGAATATTTACGTGATTATTTACACAGAAATACTCTGGTATATGGACCAGTTCCCAGTCTTGACTGTGGTCTCGAATCTTGACTATCGAGTATTAAATATAAATATAAAGCTGTGGTCTTATATAGATCTGTCTGTAGTCTCGACTATATTCGATTTTTATAATCTTCACGGTAGAGATATTTATAGTCTCGACTATAGTATAGAGCGGACTATGCTCTCGAGTGCAAATTTGTCTATAGCCTCGACTATAAAGCAGTCAATTCTCTCGACTATAGAGTTATAAATAGTTCCGACTA